ATTACAGATTTGTCTAGGTTTAAAAAGTGTTGAACACATTTTACATAATTGAAGTACTCCATGAAAAAAAAAAAATCGTATTTGAGTCTTATCGTTTACATTTGATTTGGGAAGGTTTAAACTTTTAACATCAATTCGGTATCCAGTGTGTAGAAATAGGCATGCAATTGTCACAATACAGTTACATAAACAGCGACAGTAATCTGTGTTGAGGGGGGGTTACTTTAGTTGTGCAGTTTGAGTCTCCAGCTCTGCTTGAAGCTGACGAATCTGCTCACTCATGACTGCCAAACTGCTCTTAACCCCCAGCCTGGGGCCTCTGAAGCGGCCCTAAAAAACAACAAACAACAACACACAGGATATTTATTTACAGTTGTACTCATCACACATCTGTAACAGTGGTTAGGTTCTCATTGTTGTGCCTTGACATTTCATGTGAAGAGTCAATGGAGCAATGTATTTTGCAACAAAACACTGAAACTACGAACTCTTATGAAACAGAAAATAAATAAAACTACTTTGCATAATTTACTAGCGTATAAAGAATCCAAGGATTTTTCTGATTTCTTTACAACTTATATTTCCTATCGTTTATATAGAATGTAGTATACACACACACCATTCTACTGGTCATAATGATATATTTACTGTGTATTTTCCATTGTTTGTAATGCCTTGATAACCTGCTGCTGCCTGCTTAAATACCTTTCTTTCCCCCAATGCGGACCCATCCATCTGTCCATGTAAATCCCCATATTTAGAGCCTATATTGAATATTGCCTTTATGTAAGAGATATTGTAAATAGGGGAAATAAAGTGATTAAATGTGACATTTAACATCCATCCATCCATGTATCTATATGCTATAAAGCACAACATAGAGCATTAGAAGATTTCAGCACCTCCATTCAGGGATTATCACCACACCTGAGACCTGGAGGAGGACAGTTCATACTGCATGGCATCGAGGTCGCTGATGAGCTGCATCTGTTCATCCTGCACGCTCAGACAGGCGTTTTCCTGACGCAGCCTCGAAGAAAAAGACTCCATCTCTACTGACTTGAATGAGGCAGACTGAGGGGGAAGAGAGAACACAAGTGTGGATGAGACATGTGTTGCAGTTTGAAAGGATGTACTTGATATGCCTCAAGTTGATTTTCTCAAGCTAAGCCTAAAGCATTGGCTGTATATACAAAATGGAAGTAGTCACCGTGATATCGGCTATGTGTGTGGACTGCTGTTTTGAACCCTTGAGTTGGGCATTTTCTTGGTTTCACAAACCCGAAATGAGACAAGAAGTGGTGTCTAAGTACAATCTCACGCCGAACCGTTTGACAGTTTGAGCCGGCTTTAATGTTACTACTAACTTTCATGAATAGAAAACTCACTGTTCTATAAAAGTCTATAATTCACTGCATTCTATTTCGCTGTAAATTACTGCTTTATTTTATTGCTATCTATACTTTTTTTTACAGTGTTCTTAATATAGTTCGCTATCTGTGTACTTTTAAAAAAAGATGTTGTTTTAAATGTTATGTATGCACCATGACATCAAGTCAAATTCCTCGTACGTGTGAACCTACCTGACAATAAACCCGTTTATGATTCTGCTTGTTATTTGAAAGAATGCAGGTTTAAGGAAGTCTTTTTTTGTCAAGTCTCAAAAGTTGACGCTTGGTCTAAAAGTAATAAAATTCGTCAAATATGAATCTGTCATGTGACTCAAACCAAACGTCTCAAATTAGCCCATTTAAATCTATTCCACACAACCCAGAGAAGAGCAGTTTAATATCTACCCACCTATTTCTTCGTTAGAGGGACCAATTATACTTTTTGCACGCTTGCACTCATACAGTATGTAACATGAAAATGTTCGTACGCAATGTACAGAATATCTTGATGGCCGTTTGTTATTCTTTCACCCACAAGCTTGGTGTTTCTTACCTGAGAGATGGGGGAAGGTGGGGTGAGACTGCCAGCAGCAGCACGTCTCTCAGCCGTCCCACTGACAGGACTCTCCTGGCAAACACAGCCCGACTGGGATGGAGGAACATCAGGTGTCTGCAGGTCGGTGAGGTTTAGGTGCTCACACTGCTCAGGACTCGTCTGCTCACATTCCCCTCTGTCTTCATGGCCTCCTGACTGACTGTACAGCATGTATATACAAAAGGGGATCAAGAGAGGAGGATGAGGAGTCAAACACAGCATCAGAACTACTCAAATACATTTGACATTTAGATTTAAAACAATAACTCTCTTTCCAACACTGGACGATGTAAACTCACAATACATTCATTGTGATGAATTCCATTATCTGGATAATTGTGAATAGATATTGTATAAAGATAAAGATTTCGTTATAGACAATTACTTTGTCTAAATTGATAATAACAAGCACATATGGAAATATGTTGCTATTCATGTTGCACTAAAGTTCTAAAAAGAATTTGAAAATAATATCAAATATTTAATTCACACGAGTATACAAAAACAGGTTTTACGTAATGGTTATGTTGTTTAGGCTAATTATTTATCAATTTACCCGAAATAATATGGTTGGAGTCATTCCTAGCATTCGGTGCCATTTGAGATAGGTTAATAAAAAAATTAAAAAACATAATTTTCCATGTTTTCTTTTTAATTTAATCTGAATGATGGCTTGTTAAAGTATAAGAAAAATATTTTGTTCAAGCTCAGGATATTATGTTAAAAAATATATATTTTTGAACATCCCCAGTTACTGTGTCCACCCTGTTAATGTGAAAAATAGTAACAGGGTGGACATTTTATGCTAAACTTGGCTATTGCTACATGTTTGATGATAATCAAGCTAGCACTTGGTGACAACAGAAACACATATTTGACAGATATATTTACCATATTTTCTAAATGTAAAACAAATGATCAGTTCCACTAAAAATGAGCATAACAGCGTGGACATGTTGTGCTTTACCGCAACAGTTGTTATTTAAAACATTTTAAAAAACGTTGAAGGAAGAATGCATACACTCTGCTTCTTGAAGATGATTTTCCCACTCAAAATGTATCCTTCTTCTTGAGTCATACAAATAGTAGAATAGTAAAGGGGCGTTGTCCATAGAAACAATTTGGTGANTGGAGCATTATAGCATGGAGACATGTCACAGGAGAGACACTACATACTGATAAGAACCTGACAATGAGTAAAAAGGGCCCCTTTAATAATTAAACCATTAAAATAAATAATGTTTACCCTCTGAAATTTTATAGAAAAAGTAGCCCTATACTCTTTGAAGGCTTCTTTGAGTTTCTCTGCATTTTGAAGTGCTTGGTTCCTTTGTTGCTCAGCCCTGTAAGGGATGAGAGAGAGAAAAGGTCATTAAAAAAACTCTAACAATAACTAATTGAAAAGTCAATCAGAAATATCAATAGAGTATGTCATTCTTTTCAACTTGAGATCCTGGTATGTCCCTTCAGGTACCACTAGTTATTATGAGAAAAATCCTAGTGTTAATGGTTTAATTATTAAAGGGGCCCTTTTTACTCATTGTCAGGTTCTTATCAGTATGTAGTGTCTCTCCTGTGACATGTCTCCATGCTATAATGCTCCAAAAGCTCTTTATTTTTCTCATACTGCCTGTGCTGCAGCACCTATTTTCACCCTCTGTCTGAAACCAGAGCCGAGTCTGCTCTGATTGGTTAGCTGGTTGGCTCTGTTGTGACTGGTCGACCGCTTAGAGATGTCCCGCCCCTTAGCCTATCAATACAATGTGTTTGAGCAGTATCCAATAGAAGCGCAAGTGTTACATATTGAGGTCACTAAGTTATGATAGCAAACAAAGGAGTCCAATGAAGGCGCTTCAGGAAGGGGGGGAGAGTGTCTGAGAGAAACTCCCTTTGGAGGGAACACAGGGATTTTAGCCTTTGCAGACCATTTACATGCACAGAAACCTATAGAACACACTACAGGTAAAGACACAAAAAGCATAATAGGGCTTCTTTAAAGAACAGTATATTCATATATATATTTTAATATATATACAACCTTGAAAAGACTGAACTGCTTTTCCTTCCGGGAAAAGATTGTCCCACTCTTGACCTAACAATCAACATCGGCACCTCTGTTGTTTTCCCGACTCAGACTGCAAGGAATCTGGGTGTGACCCTAGATAACAAACTGTCCTTCACTGCAAACATTGCTGCTACAACCCGCTGCTGCAGATACACACTTTACAACATCAGGAGGATACGTCCCCTCCTGACCCAGACATCAGCGCAGGTTCTGGTCCAGGCTCTCGTCATCTCACGCCTAGACTACTGCAACTCCCTCCTGGCTGGTCTACCTGCATGTGGCATCCGACCTCTGCAGCTCATCCAGAATGCAGCGGCTCGTCTGGTCTTCAACCTTCCAAAATTCTCCCACACCGCGCCGCTCCTCCGTTCCCTTCACTGGCTTCCGGTAACTGCTAGAATCCACTTCAAGACACTGGTACTTGCGTACCATGCTGCGAATGGATCTGGCCCTTCCTACATCCAGGACATGGTTAAACCGTACACCCCAGCACGTGCACTCCGCTCTGCATCATATCAGCCAAACAGCTCGCTGCACCCGCACTGCGAGGGGACCCAAGTTCCCATCAGCAGAAACACGTGGGTTTGCTATCCTGGCTCCAAAATGGTGGAATGAGCTCCCCATTGAAATCAGGACAGCAGAAAGCTTACACATCTTCCGGCGCAGACTGAAAACTCATCTCTTTTGACTCCACTTCGAGCGATTGAATTACTAACAAAGCACTTATATACTAATAAAGGACTGGCTTATCTAAAGCCAGGTAGCACTTGAAATGTTTTAGCTCTATGAAACCTGATGTACTTATATGATTCTGTTTTCTTCAAGTTTGTATTTTGTTGGTCGAACGCACTTATTGTAAGTCGCTTTGGATAAAAGCGTCAACTAAATGCAATGTAATATATATATATTTTAAATTACTGCTTTAATGTTGCACATTAAAGCCAAAAATGCCATTCCTTCTTTGTATTTTCAAGGTGATGGAGAGTGAGAGCAAACTGAAAGAGAGTCTCATTGAGTGTGACAGAGAGAAGGAGCAGTTGGAGGTGAAGTGCTCTCTGTTGGAGAGGGGAAAGGTCCAACAGAGTCAGACAATCTGGTACCTAACCTTATTTTATGTTTGTAGAAACACATCGTGGCTTTCTGACCTTTTGTCATTATCAGTCAAATCTTTGAGAAAGAAAAGCTTTGATTTGCTTGCTAACACATTCTATCCCCAATGACCCCCTGTCTGCCTGCAGCCAGCTGACGGAGGAGGCGCGGCAGGCCAGGTCTGCAGCTGCTGGCCTGCAGGCTCAGCTGGAGGAGGCCGGACGAAAGGCCTTACAGCTGGAACGGCAGCTAACGGAGAGGGGCGCTGAGTTCAGGGAGCTGGCCTCTCTGCGAACAGATCTGGAGAACCTGCGAACTCTGACCCAGAGGCAGGAGCAGAGCCTGGTCCAGAGCCAGAGGGAGGCCCAACAGAGGGAGGCAGAGCTGGCCGGCCTGGAGGCCGCGCTGACCCTGCTGCATCTACGAGAGGTCCAGAGGAGTACTATACCCAAATCAGTGTTGTTTGTGACCTAATGTCCCATGATTCTGTGAAGTCTGCAACAGTGACCTCATGGTTACATCATGAGTTATTTGCTTTGGTGTACCAGGGAATGTCCAAAACTAGTTGCTATATTAACAGGGTTGGGAGGGTTACTTTCCAAATGTAATCTGTTACAATAACTCAATACCTGTTCAGAAGAAAGAAGTAATCAGTAACCTAATCTATCAAAAATAGTATTGAGTATCACAATATAAAAGTAATGTAATCTGATTGCTTTCCGATACTTTTGGATTACCTCAATGTCAAATGCATTGCAAATAAATACAAGAGAAGATAAATATCAATAAAATGTTTTTTACTGAAGTGTTTAACACAACACAACAGAACAATGTAACCTTAGAAAAGAAGACATTTTGTATCAAAAATGTGTCGTCTTATATTTTAGGTTTACAGAATAGTATAGTTGACAAATGCTGTTTTATTTAACACATTAATTAAAAGCAAACGCAGTATTTTTGTTTTATAAATCAGGTGTCCACATTAAAATAAATAAAAGTAGCATAAATGTGAAGCTAAAATAAATTCAGACAGTGTATCTACCTATAATATATAATTATTTATCATAAAACGCATTATATCATGATAATCCTGCTAGTTTAAAAATGTTTTAACAGTAATCTGATTACTCCTTTTTTTAATGTTTTTGTAATGTAATACAGTGATCATTTTTTTGAATGCTGATTACCTAATCTCTTTACATGAAATCCGTTAAGCCTGTATTTTTATCACTAAGGATGTGTTCACTATTATCTAATATTGTTTCTTTTAATTTCAGGATGTGGTGGGGACGCTGTGTGTCAGGCCCTGCATGCTTCCCCCAGTGGACTACTCAGGAACTGCACACCTACTGAATCTGAAGCCAGGTATGCTGAGACCTCGGAGTTATCCATGTCAGTTAACAGAGATGTGAAGTTTTCTGGCCATTTGAAGACTGCCTCCCCTTGCAAGGTCCTTTTGAATGACACTATATACACCACTTTTCATGGAGTAAGAATGAGAAGCTCATTCTGCATACCTTTTGCTCATGAGGTGAAAGCAGAGATGGAAGCAGTAGAAGAAGTAGATATTGTACTTGAGTAAACGTAGAAGTACAGGTCTTGTACTTCAGTAAAAGTAGAAGTACCAGAGTGTAGGAATACTCTGTTACAGTAAAAGTCCTGCATTCAAATGTTGCTCAAGTAAAAGTACAAAAGTATAGGATCAAAATATAGTGAAAGAAGCGACAGTAAAAGTAGTCATTGTGCAGATTGGTCCATTTCAGAATAATAGATATGATATGTTTTATAATGATTGATCATGAAAGTGTTCTCAAAGCTGGTAAAGGTGCAGCTAGTTTGTATGACTTTGTATACTGCAGGGTAGCTTGTGGATTTACTCCAGGTGGAACTAAAGTCTGATTTAACACTTGATTATATTTCACATCATTCATCCACATCTGTGAAGTAACTAAAGGTATTAAATACATGTAGTGGAGGAAAAGTACACCATGTACCTCTGAACTGTAGTGGAGTAGAAGTACTACAGTAAGTAGCATAAAATAAAAGTATCTCAAAATAGTATTAATAGTGTAATATGTTAAATGTGTGTAAAAATGACTAGACCCAAGTTATATATTTTATACATTTAAGTATTTCCATTTCCATTCCCCTTCCCGTTTCAAACATCTTTCAAACCTATAGTCATTTTATTGTAATCAAGGTCAATGAATTTCAATTTGTTTTCAATCTTAGTCATTTGAACTAACTGTACTATTTTATTCAAATGAAGGATGATAGTAATCGGACGTCTGATTATTAAAAATACAGCAGAGAAAAAAGCTTACCGAGCGCCTCCAACCTACAATTTCGCCTTAGCTTGTAAAGAAAAATAGATTTTTGTTGTTAAAATGTGAAAGTAGAAAAAAATTGCATATATAATTTTTTTCTAAAGAGTAATTCCTGTCCTCTCTTCCCCTCCCCGTGGCCCCCCTGGCAGGTGAAGGCTACCAGCAGCTGCTGCGCGCCCTGCAGCTGATGGAAGCAGAGCGGAGCAGACAGAGCAGTCTGGTGGAGCGGCTGCAGGAGCGTCTCAGCAGGTCCCAGGAGGAGACCTCCACCCTGCAGAGCTCCATGGCCCAGAGAGCCTCCCACTACCAGAGACTCCACTCAGAGCTGCTGGACAGAGTCAGCCACACCACCGACAAAGAGAAGGAGGTGAGGTTTCAGGTCCTCTCTGTCATCCTCTTCATCATTTCTTTGATATATTTTACTGTATCCAGACCCGTATTATATTAAACATGGGTCTACCACATACAAAATCAAATGTTCCTGTCAATTTGTAGGTAAAGGGAGTTATAAAATGTCTACATAAGTTTCCCTGGGGTTCTTTTGAATCTCAGATTTTAGTGCACGGACGCCACCCTCTCAGCAGGGCACAACTTTAGTCGGAGATATAAGTCACTAGTCGAGGTCAGATATTTTACTGACTCTAAATATAAGAAAAACAATGTTTTGAGGTAAGGGGATCTTAATACTTTTGCACGTAGCCTGATTTCCCAAACCAAGTCACTATTATTTCAGAGCATTGATAATATAAATAGCATTTTTACGATCACTCGTTTGTTATTTTTCATGGATTTCACAAAAGCCATCTCGGCCATGAAAAATAAGCATATTGTCAATAAAAAAAAAAGGTTAGAGCCGATTTATAGGTTCTTACTCATTGTTTTTTATCTCTGCTTTACTCTAGTTGAAAAGAAAAAGTGCACGTGTGGCTGCGCTGGAGAAACAGCTACAGGAGAAGACCTCTGCTTACAGTCAGGCTGCTCTGACCAACACCGAGCTGGAGAATCAGCTACTGGTAACGCACACACACACACACACACACACACACACACACACACACACACACTAGCATTATTAGAGAGGATGAAGTGATAAATATATATTGGCTCCAACTTGTTTTATTAATGGTTTTGTTGACTCTTATATGTATGTTTGATAAAAATATACATACAAGGTCTTTGAAAACACTCTGTCGATCTTAATGTGTTTTTTACATGACACAGGTTATCATTTAAACATGCTAAATGTATTCTCTAACGCCACCATTTACATTTTTTGCTGAAAAAACTTTGTTATTTAGTGTCTTTCTTTTTGTAATTACAGGAGAAAAAGGCCACTGTTCAGCATTACCAGTCAATGATGAGTAAAAAGCAGAAAGAGTACCAGCAGTCTTTGGAGAGCTGTCAAAACTCTCAATCGCACCAACTGACTGAGCATCAGCACAGAATAGAAATGGTGATCTACTTCTCCACTCTGCAGCCCCCCCACACCCCACCTGAGTCTGTTTCATTCATCACTATAAACTCTTTTTTACCTGTCCTCTGCAGCTTCAGCTGTGTGTGGAGGAGGCTGAGACTCGGGTGTTGGAGATGGAGCAGAATCTAGGCTCAGTCCAGACGGAGAGAGACGAGGCTCAGGAGGTTGCTTTCCTGCTGCAGAGCTCCGTGGAACAACTCACACAGGTCAGGACAGTCTTAAAGCATATCTGTGCCTTTCCACCTTCTCTGGGGCAAGCACAGGAACCCTTTCAGATTAAGCTACAACTACTTTGACCCTTGTGCCTCACTAGGGAAATGTTTGTCTTTTTCATCTTTGGAAAACTTTGGCTGTCTTAATGCATATGGCATAGATTCTGGTCTGGTTTCCATTTCAATTTATTTTTATTTAGGATTAACTAAAGTTCAATAAAGTGTGTATTAAAAAAAAAAAAATGCAAAAGACCCTTAAGGTCCGAAATGTCCCCAAAATGTTTTATCCCACGGCCATTACATCCTACAATCATACATTGTAATATATCAAGCTTTCCATCTAAAGCAAGGGCTTCAAAACAATATGTAGCCATCTTTTGTCCTATGGGACAAAAACATGATATTTGTGGGGTTTTCTGAAGCACTCTATTGTCCTATGGACCAATGGGCTTTTAAGAGTTAAAATAGTAATATTGAATGAAAATGTGAAAGTTAAAATAAGGACTGAAGTTAGTTGAAAGATTGTACCTTTTTCATCCAGTTGTTTTCTATTTGTTTTGATTGAATTACAGCAGAGGCAGGATGAAGTGCAAAACAACGAGGAGTTGCTGAAGCGTTTGGAAGAGCAGGCGACTCAGTCTGCCACCAAGGTTTGCACAAAGACATGTTACCAAAGACAAACAGTGAGATGAAAAGCTCCAGTGTTTAGAGTGTAGGAGATCTATTGGCAGAAATGGAAAACACACTATGCTATGTTTTTGTTTGTGTACACTCACCAAGAATCCTGGTGCTGTCTATAGCTTAGATAGGGCCCTTTATATCTGTATATGGAGCAGGTCGTCTTCACAGAGTCTGCCATGTTTCTACAGTAGCTCAGAACGGACAAACCAATCACACTCCAGAGAGGTCTTTTCACGGGTTTACGGCACCTAAAGACCAATTCTCTACACGTTTAGAAAGGGAAGGGTGAGCGGAGGATCCAGTTGGTTACTATCTGCGAGCTTGCTGCACAATGCCACTTCATTTAACACACTGGACCTTTTAGATGTACAAAAACATCTGGTATATTGAATGAATTCCAGCATAAACACTTGTAAGCACCTTCCATGTGTTCGTACGTCAGGTGAGTGAACTGCAGACGTCTCTGTCAGAGTGCAGAGAGGAGCTGGTCTTCTACCTGCAGCAGATGGAGGAGGTGACGAAGAACTATGAGAGTGAGCTGCAGAAGAACAAAGACAAGGTACAGTGTGAACACACTAATATCTCGATCTTCTCTCCTCTCCTTTTCTGTATGCAACCCTGATCCTCCCCCCTGATCCTCCCCCCTGATCCTCCCCCCTGTTCCTCCCCCCTGTTCCTCCCTCCTCAGGTATCCTCCCTGCAGGAGAAGCTCCACAGCACCACCCTGGTGTGTCAGAGCTCTGGTGAGCAGAACCTGCAGCTGCAGCTCTCTCTGCAGCAGCAGCAGAGCATGCTGACCGAGAGCTCTGCTCACATCTCGGAGCTGGAGGAGAGTCAGAGCCAGCTGCAGGAACAGGTCAACTGGAGAAAGTCAAATGCACAATATCTCTTTTTTGCATGGAAGAAGTGTAGGGTACTGGGAGTTGTTGTCTTCACCACCATTTAGGTTATTGCAGTCAGCTCAGAATTATCCAAAGAAGGCTCCTCGTCAAAAGCAATGCACCATAGTGTCATTCTTTTACATTTCTATTTCTTCTTGCATTTTTTTTAAATGTATTTTTATGTCTCAATTATATATAAAAAAAAAAAATGCCAAAACTTGAACAAGCTGTCACTGGAAACCTACCTAATATGGATGCTTTATTGGCTTATTTAAAAAATGTGATCACATGACTCCTGCTATTATTGCAGATCTGCTGTAAGCTAGCTAGCTAACGCAGATAACCTAGTTGTTTCAAATATACTGACAAACAAATACAATTATGAAAAAGCATTTCTCCTAATGGAAATGTTTTGGGCCGTTGTTATGCGTTTGCACCTGCCTGGCTCTTAAGATGTTTCTACCAAAACTACGCTGAAGCTATTGTGCATATGACAATAGAGCCTTTGAATCTTCTTCTATTTAAAAATTAGATAGAGCACTTTCCCCTTTAGTTAGTGTTTCTCCAGAGGCTTGTTCCTCTGAAAATGTAAGATCAATGCACGTGATTAATGAACTGTTATTAAGTGTTTTTATCTTGGTTTTTAATGATTTGTTCAAGGCTTCCAGTTGGCCATCTTTAGAGGGTGACAGAAATACTGCAAAATGCTTTTTATTGAATGACATAAGACATTAAGTTCACTGATAAAAACTGTGACTGAATCATTGCTTGAAAGAATATATCTATGTTAGCATGACATTTATTTTCCGGCTCAGCACATTTTAGGAGCTGGTTGTACTTTCAGTCCTTCACAACAGACAGAGGACAACAGTCTCCATTCAGTGAGCTCAGGGAGGGTGATGTGGAGCCTCTCTGTAGAGAAGAGGGACCCTGCTAACACACTAGACAACAGATTGCCCTAAAGGATGACACTGTGTTCGTCTCTGTTCTGATTGCTAGTCAGGCCTAAACAGAAAGGTATGAGGGCAAGACATGAAGTAAACAAAAATAAGAAGCAGGATTTATTTTCCGTTTTGTGGTTGAAGCTGAAATGGTGAGAATAAATTGAAAATATTGAGAAAAAGTTGAAATACCATTCCTAGTAGAGTTGAAATAACAATATTAAAATTGTAAGTCAAAGTGTTTTAATAAAGATAAAATGTGGAAAATACATTTGATACACCCTTTTTGAGAACAAAGACGTCAAGAATAAAATACATGGTCAGAATAAATCAAACTATTAGGTTAAGCGCATATACTGACAATTCAAAACAAATGCAAAATAATCCAAATGTTTAATTTGACCCTAATGCTCTTCCGTAGGTCTTTGTAAGCAAGACAATGTTACATTAAAATAATGAATTTTTTGGGCCAATAGAACAGTGAATAATGGTGTGGCAATAAATGTGGTGTTTGTGTGCAGGTGTCCAGTGTGGAGCAGCAGCTGGAGCGGGCCCGGGCGTCTCTGCAGGGCGAGGTGAGGAGCAGGGAGCAGGACGTCCAGAGGAGAGAGGGGGAGCTGCAGGAGGTCACCCAGCAGAACACACAGCTGGCAGAGAGTGTGGGGTGAGACACACACACACACACACACACACACACACACACACACACACACACACACACACACACACACACACACACACACACACACACACACACACACACACACACACACACACACACACACACACACACACACACACACACACACACACACACACACACACACACACACGGTTAAGATGCAGAATCAACCCAGATGTTGGGACCACTAAGTTACTTTATTTTATTTCACTTTATTTTTATTTAACATTCACTCTTTTTACACTGTCATTCTTGTTAGTACAACCTGTACAAACATGAGTGACATTGGGCTATACAAATACCACTGCCACTTAAAGCATACCATGTTCCTTTCACTTGTTTTTGTTGGAAAAATCTAAATGTAGTCTCTTTTCTATTTTAAGAAAGAAAAACAAATAGCCTGAAGGTACAAACTTGTAGTGCTGAGTGTATTTCCCAGCACTCTTTGTGTGGGGCTTTTGTTTGTTGCTATTTTTAACAGAATGTTTCTTTGCGTGCTGTTCTTCTTGACCCGCAGCAAAGGCAATCGAACGCCTCAGCAGTCTGTGGGACAGTCTTATGATTACACCACATCCCATTTGTCTGCAGGCATGAAGCAGCCCTCCCTCCCTGCTCCTCTCACCCTTAAACATATCAATTGAGATCTTAGTTTGAAACTGTGAGATAGAAGCCTGGTGTTTGTGGAGTTATCTCATTCCATAGTTCTGCTGGTTATTTCTCTTTTTGTGCCCTTTTGAATGCTCCGAAAGCATGTTGGTGGTTTAAACACGGCATCAGAGGGCATGTTTGCATTGCTCACTTAACAGTTTCTAAGGGATTTTCCTTCCTTTAAGTCTACGATGGGTGCCATGCTTACAGCGAGGTGAGGAAACCGAAGGAACAATGCCACGTGCATACTGCTTTAGGCTTCATATGTCTTATTTTCTTCCCTTTTACAGCAGCTTTTTGTCCAAAAATAGTATTTACGCCTTTTGTTTGCTGTACAAACCCACTGATGATTGTTTGTTTGTGTTTCCTCTTTGTGCTTACTGCAGCCATCTGAAATCAGAAATGGTAAAGTGTCGAGGGGAGCTGGTTTCTAAAGATTCAGAGCTGCATCGCCTGCAGAGGGATGTCAGCGTCAAGACTTCTCAGATCAGCTGCATGGACGAAAGCCTGCAGCAGCTGAGGAGCCTGCTCAACAGCAAGAGTGACATGGGTACGTTTTGACATGTTTTTATTTTTCAGAGAAGAGACCATAGAAGCCGACACGGCTCTGGTTTTTAAATCGGTAGAACTGACCTACTTTCCCACTGGACAAAAAGCCACTAACATCAGGCGTGACTCGGCTACAGTCATGGTAGGAAAGGGATACGCTCAGTGATGGAACTTACACGCTAAATGTCCTATGTACATCACAAGGCTATAATGACGCGCTTTGAAGTGAATACCTGATAAATCAATTGACAGGGATTTGGATAATAATGACATGTTATAACCACACAAGACACACAGTCATTACTCTCTCCACCAAGCTACCAGACTCAAGAGATCGGTATTCTCTGATAATGATGAAACACACTTCATTTAAAGTTCTCAGGGAATACAATTAAACAAATGAAAAATATCTTTGTTCTTATTTCAAATGTCTTTACACAACAATCTCCTTTTCTGGTGAGTTAAACAAATCTTATCCATAGAGTAAAATGTGAAAAGAAACAGCTGTTATTCGCTGTGCCCAAAGCCACCAGGCTCCTTGGACAGAAACAATATTCAAACACACTGTTCATCGAGTCAAACACAATTCAAACTCAAGAGAAGCGAAAATACAACTCAATAAAACCACATTTATTTGGAGGCTGGAACCAAAATAAAACTCTATGAGTCTCTCACTGCTCCAACAATCGGCAACTCTGGTTTAAGGGAATGAAAGAGACACTTAATAAGAAAGGACCATTCTCCTTTGCTAACCCTCCTTTCTGGGGCACTTATGACTCTGAAGGTGAAACACTAGAAGAAAAACATACTTATCTACTAGCATGGGGAGGAAGTATATTCCTTACTTTTAGTGGGTTTGCGCTTGCTCTAAAAACTGCATATATGTGCATAAAGTAATGTTTCCTTCTTGCCCCTCCAGTGATGGACCTGGAGGAGCAGCTGCACCGCTGTGAGGCCGACAGGAGCAACGTCTTCCAGCGGCTGCAGGTCCTGGAGGGCCAGCTGCAGGCGGTGCGCACCGAGCTGACCGAGACTCTGGAGCAGCTGCGGGAACTCCGAGACGTTCTGCAGAGAACCCAAACCACCGCAGACGAGAGGCAAGCCTCGGTGAAAAAACTGACAATCCAACTTAGGTGAGGTCACGCCCTTGTGTGAAATATCCTTCTGCTCACAGGAACAAGGGACGAGCCTCAAGTGGAGATGACGTCCATGTGTTGTTGCTCAGAAGAAAATCCTGCACTGCATCGGCCCCAGGTGTGAATCAATGTAAACATTGTTCATGTTGTAGCACAAAGTCACAAGCTGACACACATGGAGCCTCTTACTGCCCCAGAGCCTCACTCCAGCTCTCACTTTGGATGTATGACTTCTGGATACTGTGGCTACATCTGTGTTCTCTGATGAAATCATGATGTAATATGAATTTCAGATTGTTATTGTAAATGACCCCTAATATGCTTTTTGGGGTTTCCTTTACCTTTAGTGTCATAGGTTTGTGTGCCTGTAAATGGTCTGCAAAGGCTAAAATCCCTGTGTTCCCTCCAGAGGGAGTTTCTCTCCCACACACTATACTGCTAAATGAGCAGAATAGGGCCCATTGTGTACTGTATTGTAATGTATTTTGTAATTTGCTGGGTGAATGTACACATGTTTTGGTTTTCTAATGTTATACATATTTATTTAAAACAACATCAGATAAAAAAAGTTTGTATGTTTGAATAACACACTTTTTACAGCTATTGTACACCAAGCACTCATGAAGGATTGAAAATGTTTTATAGAAAAGAAAATATTTCACAAGTCCTATCATTCATTCCCATATTAGTGTCTTATAGAGCAGTCGTTCTCAACCTGGGGTTCAGGACCCCCATTAGGGTCCTAAGGTAATTCCAGGGGTCTCCATATAGCAGTGACCATCAACTGGCACATCCGGCCTGCCAGACATTCTCATCCGGCCCGCACGACGGGGGTTACTGTGGCGTTGGCGGAGTGGTTAGTGCATTCACCCCCCACTCATTTTTTTTTTTACAATGTCTCGTGAGAAATGTGCAGTACCGGAGTCCAACAGAGAGGCAGCAGCTGCGGGATAGTAGAATGTGTACTGCGTAGCCTTCCCTGCCTTGAAGAAGAAGTGATCCTTCGTTGGCGTGAAGAGTCTGCTTTATGCGCTCCGCAGAAGTAGCCCCGCTGCGAGGCGGCTTCGGCGACTTCACTGTACATGCAACGCACACAGGGGGATAACAGTGTCCAACAGAGAGCCAGCAGCTGCTGCTTTATGCTCCCTGCAGTAGCGTGCTCTACTCCCCCCAGGGCTATATATAAAAATCGCTGGTCCGCAAAAGTGTCTTGGATCAATTTTGGCCCTTGGACAAATGTAGTTGGTGATCCCTGCCATATAGCATTGAATAAATACATTAAATAACTCAGTGCAAAATATTGTTATATATTTATTTTAATATTTATGTTATATGTTTTTATAATAATATTTTAGACTGTGAAATGACTATTACATTACATTGCCTTACCGGTGATAATATTTGTTCAAAATAGATTTGTGAAAAGTGTATTTCTGAGAGTCAAAGTGTGCTGCATGAGTTTCTGACAGCGGACTATAAGTGAGTGAGGACTAGAATCGTCAAAAATCCACAGCGACTGGAGCAAATTAGACAACTAGGTCACAAAGTCACATTATTGCTTAGGAGTCGTGTCCTTAAAAAGGTTAAGAACTGCTGTTTTAGAGGACACTGAGCTCAGGCAGTAGCAGGGACATGCTGACGCTCAGTACAGAAATGCCCTCTAGAGAAGAACATAAGAGTTGTAATAATCTAGGGCTAGGCTACAGTCATGAGTTTCTATGAAGTAAAAAAGAATGATGATGATGATGATCCCTTGTTCATGTTGTAAGCACTCAAATCAACCTAAAAAAAGGCCAACAATAAACAATAGTCCCTTATCATGAAATAATGCATTCACACACTCACTTACTACTCAGTGCGCAGTTCTTTTCTGTCACATTTGTTTCATTAAAGTACGTGTTGCCTTACAGTGAGACCCAGAGGGAGTTGGAGGAGAGGACTCAAGAGGTCTTAGACATGGACCATGCACTGAAGGAGAGACAGGAGGAGCTCGAACAGAGAGCACAGCTGGTACAACACACACACACACGCACACGCACACACTGTTCAGTGTATTACATTTTATTTGGATATATGTTTTTATGTCATCCCTTTCCTCATTTTTCCTCTGTGTTTTCTTGTGTCCCGCCCTGTACTCCTCAGCTGGGTCACCTGGAAGTGGCCATCAGGGAGCACAAGCAGGAGATGGAGAGGAAGGTGGAGTCACTGCAGCAGAGCCTGGAGGCCAGAGAGAGAGAGCTGAGAGACACACAGAGGGAGCTCACACACACAAGCATGAAGGTCAGAAACACACACACAGTCAAAGGGCTGAACATTTGAGGAAAGGTTGTGTAAACCCGGCCATGGACCAATGGACCGCTTAATTCAATTCACTGAAAGCAAGAAAACAACTGCATGTGCTATGACTTTAGCAGAGGGCGGATCAGTCAGCAGCTAGAAGTAATACATCTTGTAAGCTGGTGTGGTAAAAGTATTTTCAAAGATTCTCTTTCGAAACAAACATTGCAAACTATGAACAGACCCTTACCTGAAATGAGTTGTGTTCTAATGTTAATCCTCAAACTGTGTCTGTTTATTTATGGTGTAGGAATCCCAGGAGCATGATCAGCAGCTGCGTGTGTGTCAGCAACAGCTTCACTCTATACAGCAACAACTTGAGGAAGCTGAACGTCGATGTGAGGATTTAACCAGAGAGCTGCACGCCACCAAGCTGCATAAAAAAGAGAAGGTGATGCAAAAGCACCATTTATTATTATTTATAATCTGGTGTTAAGGGGAGACACTACATTTAAATGAGTTAGAAAATGTTCACCACTATATATCATAAGATAACTTACATCATAGAGGACAAATTATGCTAATTGTTAGGTTTGATTGTATATTTAAATGCACAAATGATAAATATCTAATGCTTGCTTTTTTGCAAATATAAGAAAAATCTGCATTGGCAAATAATCACATTTGAAAAAGATATACACCTTAATGTACATTGTTGCACGTTTTCTCTGCACTAGTCTGAAAAACGACATTTTGTGGAAGCAAAACAGTGCAGGGCAAATGTGTTTTCTTTCCTGTCGGAGATGGAATGTCTCGTTGAGGCGGACATTTTTGTTACTACTACTGCCAGTAATTTCTCTGTGGTGTGTGTGCAGGAGGCCCGGCTGTGCGAGCTGGAGGAGGAGCTGGCTCTGAAGCTGCAGTTGGAGGCCGGGCTGCAGAGCATGGTCACGTCTTTAGAGCAGGAGCTGGAGCAGGAGAGGGAGCAGCACAGCAAAGAGGTACAGCAGGGAGTGGGGCTTCATACATGGTGTCCTCGGCTTCCACATAATGCATCAAAGGCCCTATTCTTTTTTTTTAGGTTTTTCCCTTTCCTGTAGTGTGTTCTGTAGGTTGTAGTGCATGTTAATGGTCTGCAAAGGCTAAAATCCCTGAGTTTCGCTCCCCCATTGGACTCCTTTTTTTAATTCTATAACATTGTGACATCACTATGTAACACTCGCACTTCTATTGAATAGCGCTCCAACACAACGTACATGATATCTAAGAGGCGGGACATCTCTAAGCGGTTGACCAATCACAACAGAGAGCCGGCCAGCTAACCAATCAGAGCAGACTGGGCTCTGGTTTCAGACAGTGAAAAGAGGTGCTGCAGCACAGGCAGTATGAGAGCAATAAAGAGCTTTTTGAACCTTAAAGCATGGAGACATGTCACAGGAGAGACACTACATACTGATATGAACCTAATGTTTGTATATCAGGTTCAAGAACATGTAAAGCTTTAAGTTGTTCTTGCTCTTGACTAAGACTTAATGATTTTTGTGATAAGCTTCACTCTCACATCATTACATTATCAGAAGAATGTGACGCCACTAGAAAAACCCCAGTCTGCTCTCCATTTCTCTCCCCATCTATGTGCTTAGGGTTTGTGTTGTTCCCTTTTCATCTGTTTTCTTTCCTCTTTTTGTCCTTATAAACGTAAACTACACCATTGTTCCTAAAGCCTTATCTCTCCGACAGCTGATAATAACGTATTAATTCCTGCTGTTAGTTAACTTAGAAATGAAGTGGACCCATAGTGTATGAAAGGGGAAATGGTCTCTGGGTCTGAAGAAGCGAAGCCAATGTGAAAGTGCCATAGTGGTTGTACAAGTGCCCTTAAATCCATGCACACGGAGTGCTCAAACACTAGAATGCTGCAATGTGTTAGAAATATTTACACTTTTGGAACAAAAACATCCCTATCATGTGACAAGGAATCTAAATCCATTACAACAATGAGCTATATTGAGAGCAATTTACTTTTCATTTAGATTCAGAGCTTGAATGTGATATTTTTCCTTTTTTTTTACATATTCCAAATACATTAAAAAACAACCAAAGAAGATGAAATGGACTCTCAGGCTCCGTTAACAAAAATGTGCAATGTCTCTGTAATAAAATGGTAAATGTCTTTTAATGGTAGAGTATACCCTGCTGTTTATTCTGGCCAAGTTATGTTTATATTTACTGTACAATACGATGTTAATGTCAACATTTTTTCGGTCACGTATTACTTTTTTTTTTAGGTCGTGTCCATATATGGTACGATAATCGTAAATGTAAAAATGGATGGTCATGTTTATACAAACGATTAAACGAAAGCCTAAAAATTACACCCGTTTTGGGATTTATTTAAATCGGCGTTATTTTGGAAAATACGTTTTTCTAATTAAGAATTATCAAGGTCATGTCCATACAATAAGTGAACAACATATAAATGATCTAGGTCAGGTTGATATATTGTAGGATAAATAGATAACATAAAAATGTTTGAGGTCGTGCTCGTATACCATACAATAAGTTGGTATTGTACAAATAAGGGAGTGATGTTTATATATCATATTAATATACAATATTTTTAACACATTGCAGCATGTTCATATAAGTTAATAACGAAAAGAATGATTGAAGTCATGTTCATATTTTTAACGATAAGTGGATAACGTTATGTTTACTACAGGCCCTCATCTTGCTCCGAGAAACCAAGATGGTGACAGGAACTATACCAAACTAGAGGCTTTCACATTTTTATTCCACAGACTGGGGTGGCATCACGTTGACCACGTCTTTAATGTGAGAGCACATCAAGCCACTAGTCCCAACTTGTCTCATCTTGTTCCTTCTCCCAGCTGGAGTCCCTGCAGCAGACCCGAGCTCAGCTCCTCAAAGTCTCCTCTCAGATCTCCTCCACCATGCTCTCATCTCAGGAGCAGCTCGCCACTAAACTCCAGCAGAGCCAGAACCAACTGGACCAAACCAAAACCCAGCTGGACCAGACCAAAGAGGAGCTGGATCGCGCCCGGAGCCAAGTCGGTCTCCTCCAAACTCAGAGAGATCAGGCTGAGACGCAGCTCCGTCAGAGTGGAGCTCAGCTGGAGCAGAGCAGGGTCCTGTACCAGCAGACCCGGGCCCAGAACCTTCAGCTCCACACCCAGCTGGAGCTGCTCAGCACCCAGCTACAGCACTCCAGAGTCCAGGCTGCCCAGCTGCAGGCTCAGCTGCAGGCCTCCAGGAGGACCATGGAGACCTCCGACGAGTCCATGCTCATCAAGGTACAGTGCTCTAGTGAGAGTGATGGAAGCTGCATTATGGAAGGGTATACGGCAGTGTTTCTGTTAGCCAATATGTACCTGATTTTGACCAGAAAACATCTGTTAAAGGCCGACAAATTTAAAATCTGGTCATAATGTCTGATGAAAATAATTCCCCGAAATAGGCTAAAGAAACAAGTTAGCCCCAGACTTCTAGAAATACATATTTTTGGTCACCGGAACTAACAAAATTGAATATTAGAATTGGTGATTAAAATAAGATTATGTATTCTGTATCTCTCCTTGAATTTGAAAGAAATGGGCCTGGGTCTTTGAATTTTAGGTTTAAGACTGTTCAGGAAAACGAAAAAATTGAATTGTCTGTACATTTATTTTCAGTTAAAAAAAAAAGAAAAAATATTATTCCAGTGGATCCTTGAAATCATTAAAAGCTTGTGATCTTAAGGAGGTGGGGTCAAGGCCTTGAGCGTTTTTCAAAATGGATACTAATTCTAACTCTTTGGCAATAAAGTAAGTTTACTTAAAATGTGTTAATATGCCATGTACTGTCATCATATCAAACGCTACATCACACGATGTCATGTGACAGGAATTAACTGTGTTCAGTGTCCCAAAGCATGCTGTCCTTGAATTTCAGGGAATTGAGCCTGAAAATTCCTGTAAAATGTCCTTGAATTTGATGTTAAAGAAGATGTGTTGTTTTCTACCTGCAGAAGTCTGAAAGTTGCATTATGGAACTGTCTCAATTATATTCAGAAAAAAACATGGTTCCCACAGGTCATGAATCCCATAACTCGAGAATTTCTTTTCATGTGGCCACCTGCAAAGAAAACATGTGACAGGAATTAGCATTCTTTTGTGTCTCCATCTTTGAATCACAGTGAGTTGGGCCTGAAAAGTATTTGAAATATTTGATGTTTGAGAAAAACCCTGAACAAACCGGTTCTGGCCTACCTGCAGGAGTCTGAGAGTAGCATTAGCAATACATTAAACGCATTATGACACAGTGCAACAGAAGCACATTATAAAACAACATTAAAAGATTATAAAAAATCTAAGAAAATAATAATAACAAGCTAAATTCTTTAATTATTTTGTACGCCTTCTGCAAGTATCTCCCACATTTGTGTAATTTTCTCATACGCCACCTGTTGCGAGGAAAGGGACGTCATTAACTTTGCTCCATGTCTCAAACTATACTGTGTTTGCTCCTTCACTTTGAGAAAATAGGGCCTGGAAAAACCTTCATAAAACCTTGAATGTGATGTTTAATAAGCTGTGGAGACCCTCAAATAATCCTTGTGTTCTGGTCTGGCTGCAGGAGTCTGAGGTGACCCGTCTCCAGGCCAGGATCTCCAGCCTGGAGCGAGCTGCTGAGCGGCAGCACCACCTGTACACCCACACCCCCTCCCTCCCCGCTCTGAGCACAGTCACACACTCCTCAGAGTGCTCCTCCCCTCCTTCCTCCCCCCATAACACTCCAACAACCCTCCCCTCTCCTGAGCACGCTCACTTGCCTCGCCCTCGCTTAACACCCCCGCCTCACACCTACCTTCGTCCAGCCTCCGCCCCTCGTCTCTCCATCCAATCATGCGACTGGCTGAGCAACAGCGTGGACTCCTCTCTGGATCTCCCCCTGAGCCTGAAGGAAACCCTGATGGAGGCTCTGAGCAAGCATCCGTGGGAGTCCCCAACCTCCGGCTCCTCTTTCCCTAACACGGTGGACCACAGCTGGCAGGGTCTCAGCGCCGTGGAGACCACAGTGACCTCTGACCTCTCCTTCAACCCTCTTACATACAGGGTGGAAACAAAAGAACATGGAAGAGACACGGAAGCTCCCTCCATGCAGCTGGGAGACGACGAGGAGCAGATCAGTGAGTCCAGGAGGGAGTCTGTGAACACCCTGGTGGGGGAGGAGGTGGAGGGGGACATGAGTTCACTGACAGGGATGCTGAGGTTTGTTAACAAGACGTTAGCCATGCAGGAGGATGCGTCTTTATGGAGCTCCACAAGGCCGTCACAGAGCAGCCTCACACTGCAGGTAACAACTCCTCCTGTCTTGAGATATACAGAGGATGACTTGCAACACATTATCCAGCTGATTACACCTCAGTGTTAACTTCCTGTCTTTCTTCTTCTGTTGTTCCCTATTGTGTTGACTTCCTGTCTGTCTTCTTCTGCTGTTCCCGTTAGTGTTTACTTCCTGTCTGTCTTCTTCTGCTGTTCCCTATTGTGTTGACTTCCTGTCTGTCTTCTTCTGCTGTTCCCGTAAGTGTTTACTTTTTGTCTGTGGCCGTTTCTCAATCCCAAGTAAAACTGCTGCAGAGCCACTATTTCAAGTATACTACGTCATCGAGTGGCGCCGAAGGACTGTTTAAATGCATGTTAAATGCCCAGCATTCTGCGCCACTCTGACGTAGTATACTTGAAATAGTTGCTCTGCAGCATGTGTATTCGCGATTGAGAAATGGCCTGTCTGTCTTCTT